CGTATTTGTAAAGCTCGGAAACCAATGTTATTTGTGAAAATTTCCCACACAAGTTGCTTTGCAAGATGCTTGCCAGGAATGAAAGCTGGCTGCCATAGCGTCAGCTTCTCCACCTGCTGCCACTGCTCTTACTCATGCAGCCCTCGTAAATCCTAGTGCAAGTTTCCTGCTTGGAAGAAAGACTTCAATATACCCTTCCTGGCGGAGATCACATCTGTCAAGCACATTTGAATGCAGCCCTTTGTAATTACTCATTTGCACAAACTGGGTCTCTGTCTGAAGTCCCGACAGTTTTCCAAGACATGGTGGTCATGGAAATGCATTCAGGGTTTCTCTGAGGTGGTGGAGCTTGCACTGGCAACCAGGAAGGGCCGGAACTTTGCTGCTGGATCCGAGCAGTGCCATCACTCCTTTCCTCACGGCTTAGTTCGTTATAGTCATGTTAATATAGTCATATTAATGACTATAGTAAGGTCCTGTTCTTTGCACCCAAACAAACCCTCAACCAGGCGATCACCCAGCTACCCACATGCCCATTGCCAAAGACAGACTCTTGGCTCAGCTCCTGGTGCTAAAGCCCTCGGAGATGCAGCCAGTGGGAAGACAAGAAGGACGTTCGGTTTCAAGGAGCTGCTGCCACTGGCAGCCCTCAGACCATCCCAGGCATCTGCTGAGCAGCAGAACACCTCTGCGAGATGAGTGAGCGATAGGATACAAGGGGGCGATTCCAACCTGAACCTGCCGAGATCTGTGGACACCCACGATCTCAAAAGGCCAGGTAGGTGCTGAAACCTGGCATGAAACGTTTGGGAACAACTCACAAATACGGCGCATGTCAATCAGCGAGCTCCTGCCTGTCAGAGGGCTGGCCTGGCATTACTGACGATCTTCAGACGCATCAAGCAAGGGAACAGCGAGGTGACAACCTCAAGAAGAATCACCCTGAGGTTCATCCTCCCTCACAGGAATGTCTCGGTCCGACATCCACCAAAAGAAGGCCCCATAACCTTGAAACCTCTTCAGACACCAACAGACATGGATGGCAAAGCGTCTGGGAAGCAGGCCGCATTCAAAGCGGACAGGGGTTATTTGGAAATGTGTTAACTGCTGCCGAAAGCAGGCAGCTGGATACGAGAAACACCGCCACAGCCAACAGACCTTACTCCTTCGGCACGGGCAACACGGGACGGATCAACAGACAAAAGAAACGTGGTAATTCTCGGTAGCATACGCTCAGAGTCTTGCTGAACCTTTCCCAGGCCATCTGCCTGTGTCGCTGACGGAACAAATGCGATCCAACAGACAAAAAAAAAAAAGAGATGTTTTCTGAGACCGTGGATGGCGCCTGGTCTTCAGAGCCACAAGAAGGACACTGAGCAGTGGACCTGGAGCAGTCCGCATTGCTCACCAGCTGACAGCACAACTGCCATGCAGAAGCCCAAACCTGGACGGGGGTGGGATGAGATGTTACTCTGCACGCAGCGCTCACCTCCAATAATCACTCCGAAGTGAGTTGTCACCTTGGCTACAGAGAGCATTTTTTCATGCTCTGCCCGGGTTCCGCAGCGGTACCGCCTGCCCTGAGGGTCAGCCGCGTGCAGGACAGACACAGAAAAAGGGCTGCGGGCACGCGTGCAGCAGCGTGCGCTCTTGGGACGGATACACCCAGCACATCACGGGGCTGGAAGCGGAACGCTGCTGAAATTTTTCCAGCAGAAATAAAACTGGCTTTCACCAGCACTTCTCCAGATATCGCAGGAATTCATACACCACCTTCCTGGGCCTAATGTGCATCCACTGGCACCAGTGAATGCCACTGCCAGCTCACCTTGGCCTACTGGGGTGAAGCTGATTCCAGCTGGTTTCGCCACCTAGAAATTCTTTAATCTTCCAGTGCATGACCCAGTGAGCAGGAATCTGACAGTCTGTGCCATGTCAGCCCGCTGCGTCGCAAGTTTTGCAGACAACGGAGTTCAAAGGGAAAGATGGAGAATACCAACATCCAAAGCTGTCACAGAGCTCGTGGTATCAAACTCTATCTGTTCCCTCAGAAACTCGTGGAGTTTCCTCAGAAACCTGTCAAGCCACAGAACCCATCTGCATTACTAAGGGGACTCCAGAGGCCAGAGCTCTTGCACCTGCAATCACGTACCTGGCAGAGGACGGGTAACGAAGGTGAGGAGAACGTGCAGATAACCGCAATGAAGATCTGGAGGAGTGGGAGATCTTGTCTGAAATAGGTGCTTGTCTTCTAGAGCCTCTCAGGATATCTAGCATGCTTTCATCAAACTAAAATATCTCTGATATATTTAAACAAGGAATCTTAGTTTCTTATTTCTATTAAAAATCTCTTTTGACTAATAAAGAGGTAAAATTCAACCATTATAGTCCAAAAATAAATATATTCTCCAATTGACTGTGCCATGATGAAGGATGTATCGTACCTACTAACTTATTATATCTGAAGAAAACCTACACATGCAGAAGATTTCCTGAAGAGGAAGATTCACTGAGACGTGCCATCTTAAGTGGTACCAAAGCCGAAAATTTTTATCAGGCTCAGTGACTAAACACACCCCATGCAAAACATAGGTCAGGCTGTCCATGAATTTTGTCACTGCCTGTGTCTGGAACAAGAGGGCTGCTGTTCCGTCTGCTGCTTTGGAAACCTCTAAAGGACTTCACTGTCCTTGTAGACAAGGAGAGGAGCTGGCAGCCCTGGACCAGGCTGAACTCTGAGACCTTCTGGAAATCTCAGACTTTCCCTTCTTGACTCAGACAACTCCAGTTCCCTGAGGGTTTGCGCAAGTGGGACACGAAAGCATCCTGCCAGCTCACGGCGCTCTCCAGCCCTTTAATTCCCATGACTGGCACCGGGCTGGGCTGCAGACGACCCCAGGACATGGTGCTCTGCCCACCCTGGCCAGCTGTCTGCTCCCTGCTCTTGGGGGTATTTTGGGTAGTATTTCATCTTCCTCAGAGAACAATTTTAAAGCATAAGGTAAAGCAGGCTGGCCCCGGCTCCCCACACCTTGATATAAATGGTGCCTCACTAAGAAGGCCCCAGGATATAGAGCTCTGGCTCTAAAGCAGAGGTGATCCTGCTAGATGGTTGCCTGTTGGGATCTGTAATGGCAAAGCCTGACACAAAGGTCAAGGCAGCAGAGACTATGTATCATTCAGATTTATTTCATATAGGATGCGCGATCCCGAACCGTGAGCTATCACTCCTCTGAATTCCATGCTCAGACAATCTTTCTTAACACGGTTCCAGGAACTCGTTCTCCAGATGGGAGAGTCGAGCTGTAACCCCGTCTCCCCTCCTACCCCAGCACTCTGAAGCATAACAACTGCAGCTTGATGCTGGAAAAAGAGATGCCAGAGGACAACCTACAGCGAGGTATGAACCCTGTGCTCATGAAGTCGGGCTCACTGGATGAGTTACCACCCTCTGCCCTGTCACCTGCAAGCTCAGTAGGGACACTGTCCCACAAGACCCCGGCTCATGGCAGAAGAGCCTGCCAGATCTTGACATGGAGCCAACCTCTCTGCCGGGCAGACCCAGGCCACCGTGCTGTCTCCGAGACAGCCACAATCCGCAGGGCGTTTTCCCGTGAAGGCATCTCCTGCGCCACACCCACCACCCACAAAACGCCTTTTGAATACATAAGGGAAGAGGACAGTGTCACGCTAACACTGTTCGCATACGGACACAACCTGTCGAGCCCCCAGCAGCCTGCTGTGAATCGCTGAACCCTCCCATGATACCCACGGAAATCCCAGCTCTGATATTCCTGGGCGTTAACGGAACGCTCGATACCTCTCTGAATCAGTCCCCATGCAAGCCAAACTGGATGCTGCCTTACGAATCGGAAATTCAGGGCCACAATCCAAGTGTAGGAGGTCAAGATTAAAAATTAAACCCGGCTGCATACTTCCAGGCTCATTTGGACAGTCCTCTGAACATCTGACGTTGTTATTGTTGCTCTGTGGTGGTTTGTTGTTTTTTTTTTTACAGAGCCAGGAAAGAAGGAAAAGGCACAGCAACAAGAAGGGGAAAAACAAGCACACGCGTTCCAGAAAGCAAAATCCCCCACGCCGCGGCAGGGTGCTCCTCGGGGGGCTTAACCTTTCCTCGGCGTACGAGACGTGACAGGAACACAGCCCCAGCGCGCGTGCAGCCAGACATGTCGGCAGCTCGCCCTCGCTCCCTCCCGAAGCCGGTCCAGGGGACTCCCCTCTGCACAGCTGCGGTGAAAATGTGGGTCCCAGTCTGTCGGCGGACAGAGGCACCCCGCACTTGGGAGCTCTGTCACTTCGAGCAGCTGTGACAGCAATGAGCTGGGACCATCTTAGCGGGACTACAGCAACACAGCCACGATGCTGCCGCTTAGCACAGCTGCTCCGAAACACAGTTCGCCTGCTGCTATTGATACTGCAGCACGTTAGCGTCAGTACTCCTCATCACCTTCCTCCACCTTCATGGTGGGCTCCACGGCAGAGAGATGCCCTACGAAATCCAGCGTAGAGCTACATGAGGATGAGGTTTAAAATGCGTTTCGCCACGCGACAGCACGCACGCCCCGCTACAGACCAGGCTGCTGCCTGGTGTTCCTCCGAGAGGCAGCGATCCTCACATTAACGCAGCAACTGAGCTGTCTGCCCAAGCGCCAGGCCTCACAGTTCATAAATTCTAGGGCTATCTAATCCTAGATCACACGCTGCAGCCAAAACCCGCAAGTAGAAGCGAGGCAACGAGCCAAACCAGGGGCACATGACAAAAAGGCAGGAAAGGAACAAGTGGAGGCTGGATCTGCTCTGAGCATAAAGCTCCCTCTCTCACGGTATACTCACCATCCTGCCGTTCAGTATTTCTAGCTATCCATGTCCTCTTCTGCACGTGTAGCAAACAGCCACCTTGTCCTAAAAACCACTTTGGACTGGAAAGCCTGCCCGCAGCATGTCCTTAGCCGTGCTGCTTTCTGCCTGGACGTCCTTACCTTCTTGCAGAGAACCATCTGGTGATCAAAGAGAAAGAAAACACGCTGCTGGTTCCGTCCATAAGGCTGGTAAATCCAGGACATCTCTCCCGTGTAGATCAACTCTGAGCTGCGGTCCAAGATATCGTCTCCCTGGAGGGCACAGAGAACGACGCCGAGTGAACCGCTGCTCCCAGCCAGGGCAGTGGATACGTTTCTCTTTGCAGGATGGGGAGAAGTAATAATTAAATAAAATTTTGGCCCTTCTGCAGCTCTCAAAGTCACCCCATCTGACTTCAGAGCAGAAACTGGAGATATTAGGGTAATTCTGAAGGAAGGGAACTCAGTGAAGGAAGTGTGGGCACTCGAAGCACGGTCATTACAGTTCACATTGCAATGAGCAAAAGCTGCTCCAGACTCCGTCCCTGTTGCCCCCCCTCCAGGTACCCCCAGCCCCTGGACCTCGCTGCAGGTGCTGCTGGCATCCGAAGCGTGAAGCCCCTTCCTCCTGCCCACGACCGAGCCACTTTGTATTCAGGGTAAC